AGTCAAGAATCCATGCATCATTTTTAAATAACAGAATTGAAAATTTCAAAAAAATGGTAGGCCTGCATTTGATACTTACGAATTAACAATGCCTGTGACCTCCAGCCAGCATTCTCTTTTCCTTTTCGTTCCTCTGTCGCTCCCCGAAAATTTTCCAAATAAAACACTCTCTCTCTCTCTCGCAACAACACTCCATTAAAACAACCTCTTCCCTCTCTGTCCAATAAACTCTATTCTTGCTTTCTTCCACACATTCTTACTCATGCCACTTTCACTCGACATTGTACAGCAGGGCAGGTGCAGACGAAAGCTGTTCTGTGCCGTCAGGTGACGTGAGATGACAGATGCGAGTTCCGGAACCGCGCGCTTCAATCCGCCGTCATGAGAAACGTACTTTTTTTTGTCTGAAGAGTTCGCTGGATGTTTACATCGGTAGAACTCGGCTGAGCTTGAGTTTAACCAGTCGAACTCAAGTTTGACCAGCTTTGTGATACCCATTTGACGGTAGATCTCAGTTGAGTTCAAACTTTTTAAAGATTTGAGAAAATGTTTGTGATACCGAAACCTAGACACTCCAACTTTGGCATTGGTCAATTGGAATAAATCTGTTTGTCGTGCCTTGTGCTGCTCGGCATGTTGAATATCTGGCTACTGGCAGGTCCATGCGTTTTGCTTGAATGATAAGGTGGTGTTCTACCGGTACGTGCGTTTTTAAATGTAACAATTTTGTTTATAAATGTTACCGTACCTTAAAAAGTGTATGCAGGCAGAAGGTAACATCAGATTACTTAAACGAACAACTCTGGTTGAATGGTTTGGACCGCGATACACGACAACGGCACTGATCTCCCCGACATTCTGCATTTCACACGAATGATCAAGTATATCACATTGGCTGATTTACATGACACTGACTGAAGTATGCGGTAAATATGCCCGTTTATTTCATATCTGAATGTGTTGGTGGTGTTTGTGAGCGGACAGAGTTTGTAGATATCACTGTTGCATCTTTTGAAACGGCTATTGGTAGAGTACCGCTGACTATCATGACTATCATGTTGGTTTTGATCTGCAACGTTCTTTGATAAGCAAGCACTGGTGGATCTGGAAAGATAATTATGAGTTTACTGGACTTAATCAAGATTTCCGAGTGTTTCTGGAATATTCCCTAGAGAGGTGGCGCCAATGTTTGGATTGAAGGTAAATAAGAGGAGTGTAACGATACACCGCTTCACCACGATATATAGAGCTACGATACGTGTTTTCCCTGCAGGTAGGGCGTAAGAATTGTACCTGCTGCCCCCAATTGCATGATCGTAAGAGGCGACTAAATTTGGGACCTTATCTCTTCTCTCCTTTCTAAATAACTTTCTTCTTCCTAATGTCTCCCTTGACAATGCCTCACTTTTGGCCATTTGTTGAGCGTTCGCCCCTGTGAGGAAGGCTTTGGGTTCTGTCCCCTGGCCGAGACATACCAAAGTCTTTAA